GGCCTGCCCATGGCCTGCCCGTCTGAGTCCCTTGCTGGAGCGTTGGCAGCGCCCTCCCCACTCAGGACAGTGTGCTTCCTCTGGGCCACTGCCAGACCCAGAGAGAGGAGCGCTTTGATGGCGCAGCCCGGACTGCTCGGCAAACCACACTGCAGCCATGCTCAGCATCTGGCCACCACTTTGTCCCCTGAATGTAGGGTCCCCAACCCTACCTTAAGTCGCCTATTTCTCTTTTGAACTCAGAATAAACTTTTTTAAAGCTGTAAACCCAGTTTAAAATCTTAAGAAAAATAAGTATCCATACTGAAAGGATAAAGGGAGTCCAACTCAACCGTAATTAAATTTGGTTTTTCTCCTTTGCTCTCTTGTGAGGAGAAAGCTAGATTCTGTCCTTTTCAGAGCAATTTACCAGTTTGTGTTGTGAAGGAACAACTTAATTCAGTAGCTTGACAAGGATTTGAGCCGGCACTTCTCAGCCGTAATCTCAGCTACACACACACACACACACACACACACACACACACAGCCTGTTTTAAGTTTTAGTGAATGAAATGTTCACATGATCTTGGTTTTTAAATAGCTTTCATTTTTGTTGAAGTAGGAATTACAGGGTTTTTTTTAATTGATACATCAACAGACTTAACATTAGGAAGCTTTGAGTCTGGATTTTCTAATGTTGAATCTCATACTAAGATTTAATAGGCAAGGAAAGAAGATGTGAACTAAAGAAAATGGAGGCAGGGAATAAGCTCATTGGATTAGACAAAGAGGAATGAAGGTAAGGGAGGGGCATGGGACTAGGACAGAAAATAGAATGAATGGGACAGAACTTCCCATGTTCCTATGTGAACACACGACCAGTGAAACTCCACATCATGTCCAACCACAAGAATGGGAAGTTAGACTTCATGTATGAATATATATGTACATCATAATGCACTCTACTATCATGGAATCTTAAAGAACAAATAAAAAATGTAATAGTATAAATAAAAGTTAAAATTTCTTTTAATAGCAAAATAGATAGATAGATAGATAGATAGATAGATAGATAGATAATGGGGAGAGTGGCCCCTGATGGGAATAGAAAATTGAAAGGACAAGCCTACAGTTGCAGTCAGTTCTGCTATAACACAACATGCATTCCTTAAAACTTACTGCACTGTGCAAAATTGTGCAATAAAAACCACATGAGTCTTATTGGGAAAAATGGGGTTATGGCACAACACTCAAAAACTTCATCAGTGACACATGCAGGAAAAAAAAAGAGGAACATAATGAAAATGGTAGCACAGTCTTACATATAGTAAATAGTCCAAAATACATGAATACTCGGATAAATGTGGCAGTGGACCTTGAAGAGCCTTGGCATTTGCCTGTGGAGTGGCCTGGGCAGGGTTGCCACTCCTGGTAGTAGAGGGAGGTTGTGTGAGACTGGATGGAGAGTTGGGACAGCAGCTGTTCATTGTGAACTGAGATCCATGGTGGGTGTTTGCGGTATGTGCACTGTGTGTCCTGTGTGGCTCCATCAGGCAGGTGTCGTTTCTGCATTGCCCAGTGTTTCTTGCAGACAAAAACAAATGCAAGATTTTGTGGTGGTCAGCTTGTTCCTTTATATTTCAATGGCTTTGCCTTCTTAAAACAAGCATGATAGGCGAAGCTGTTTCGGAATTTTATTTAAATATATTTATATATTTTAAATATTTATTTTATAGTTGGACACAATACCTTTATTTCACTCATTTATTTTTTTATGTGGTGCTGATGATTGAACCCAGGGTCCCGCGCTTGCAAGACGAGCACTCTACCACTGAGCCACAACCCCAGCCCCTCAAGAATATATTAGTACTGCGCTTAAGAGGCTGAGGCAGGAGGATTGAAAATTCAAAGCCAGCCTCTTAGCAACTTAGTGAGGCCCTCAGCAACTCAGTGAGAGACCCTGTTTCTAAATACAATATAAGATAGGGCTGAGATTGTGACTCAGTGGTTAAGCGTGCCTGAGTTCAATCGCCAGTGCCTCCCCACCAGAAATATTAATATACCTAACCTTCTGAGCATCTTAACTAGCCACACAGCACAGGGTTCCTTCCTGTCATGATCAGGCTCATGGAGAGCTGTGGCTTTCTGGAACTGCCCAATGTCATCCTGACTGTATTGTATATCACGAGCCTAAGAAAAGGTGACAGTTCACAATTCCAAGTTTTCCTGAATGGATATCACTTTTGCACAACCATAGAGTTGAAATATTATAAAATCAAACCATCGCAAATTAAGGACTGTGTGCCCACTTGCCCTGAGACACCTGAGATCTCTGATACCCACAGAATAAAACTTCTAAGCCCAGCATTCTAGCTTACAGGGGGTGGGAGGTATCCACCTCTTTATGCCACAGACAGTATTGTCCAAGGGAACAGTACTCAGGTTGCTTTCTGTGGGTTACCATAGGTAAATATTTAAATTTTAATATTTATTTTAGTGTTTATCAGAAAAACAGCAACCTTGTTAAGCCTGTCGTTTCATGGAGATCTTGCTTTGAGGAACAGCTCTCAGCTGAAGGTGGTGGTGCTCTGCTTTACTCTGGAGCCCATCTGGAATGATAGGAGTTGGGTTCAAGTGGTCTGGGGCAGAGGGGCACTAACTGGTGACCTGATGGTGGGGCCAGGACTGTGAACCATATTGAAGTCCTGTATGTAGAACTGTCTGGTCCAAGACACCAAGAATGCCTCTATTAGAGACAGAATTAGACCAAAGAAGAGGGAAGTATAGCATTGAAAATAAATCTGAGTAAAACAAATAGTATTTTATATGCCTTTGCTGAGGGTGGGAGAACGGTTTGCAGGGGATGGTTGTGTGGAAGGCACTCATTAAGGACACGCGGCAGCAGCCCTCGTATGTAGTGCCATGTGCCAGGGGTTCCACCAGCCGTGGTCAGTGGTTCTCGAGACATCAGCCTCATCCAGGTGAGTCTTCCAACCTTGGCTGCACAGCAGAGTCACCAGGGGAAGCTTGTCCAGGTCCAGATGCCCAGGCCACATCCCAAACCAATTAAGTCACCATCCTCAAGGGAGGGTTGCAGGCGAGCTCCTGGGGTCATTCTAGGGTGAGAACCACTGTCAGGGCCATTTGGAAATCACTTCTTTGCAGTCTCACAGCTCAGTCTGTCCTGGGCAGGGGCAGGTGGCAAAGCTATAAGCACGTGTTTACAATCGAGGCAGACGAATGCTGAAGCATGGAAGTAGGTTCTGTGCATTTTGGAATCATAGAAAAAAGAAAGACTAGATTTAAAACAGACAAAGAGAAACACACCTCAGATGCCAAATTTGGAAAAGTAATTCCCCACAGTCGCTTTAGTTTTTCCTTCCTTACACTCCTTCACTTGGTCGGCACAGCAAGAGGCCTTTATGCATCACTATCAACTTACCCTTTGTAACTAGAGGATAGCCTTTCTGTCTGTCCTGGTGAGGAGCAGGCACTAGAAACCTCATAAAGCATTGTTAAACTGTCCTAACAAGAGTAAGACTCACTGAGAGGTTCTGGGCTACTAAAAGATGGGCTTTGGAAACAAGCCATTTAAATGCTGCTTGGAGTCATTGATTCTAACGTGCTCCATGTTTCAGGTACTCTTAGAACGGAACTCCTCTTTGTGATAAGTCAGGGTTGGGTCACAGACATTTGAAAGCTGGAGTTAAGCAAGTGTGTGATTTTAATTTACGAGTTTAATCTAAGGCTTCCACCAAGCAGCCGTTGCAGGGGCCTCAAGTAGATGAATTTACCAAATAATTAATTAATAGATTTTCAATAGTAACATTTTTCAACATCTCTTGATTTATATTAAATTGCCATACTCAGAAAAAAATTGATTCTTCCGTGTGGGTACATTTATTCTCAGTTAAACTTTTGTAGTCTGTTCTTAACCATGAATTACTTCCTGGTTTAAAAAAACATGCCTAGCTATTTATGGTATTTTGTCTTGCGCCTTTGGCACCCTGGTGGTGTGAGCCGGGGCTGTGCCATCTGTAGTCAAGTGAGATTATTTAAAGGGGGTGGCGGGGCAGTGAAATGATTCACTGGAAAATTTTAGCACAGATTCTTAAGGAACGATAAGATAACCCTAGAAACATCTTTATTTGGTGCTTATTTGGTGTCATATGCTGGTGGGTAGTGACGGGGAGAAAAAAGGTACAACTTGTTTCTGAAGATCTTGCTATTTTGAAAATCAGAGAGAGGCTGAGCTAGAAAGGAGGAGAGGATGTCCACGCAGTGTCATTTCCAGAGCTCTGCAGATGAGGGAAGAGTCTTTCTCTTCCTGAATCCAGGTTAGAGGTTCATTTCCAGCAGAGAAAACCCAAAAGGCAGTATGCTGGTGTTCAGAATGGGTGTTTAAATCCTGATGGGTGTCTGTGATAAACCTCGTTATATCGAGGTGCTTTGGAAACAGGAGGGCTGGTTCCTAGAATGCTCAGTAAGTGTGGGGCCTAGATAAGCCCTTTCTGAAAGTGACTGCGTCTAGTGTGTTTTGACTCCACGATAACATGTTTCAACCTAAACATGTTGATTTCAGGGAACTCTTCCCGTTCCATTCCATGTGAGATTTGCCTGAAACATGGTGTCTTTTTTTTTTTCTTTCTTTCTTTCTGTTTTCCTTTCCAGAAAGAAGACATAGCTCATCCAGCAAGCCTTCTATGGCCGTTCCTCCCACTTCAGTATTTTCCTTCTTCCCTTCTCTGTCCAAAAGCAAAGGAGGCAGTGCAAGTGGAAGCAGCCGTTCTTCCAGCGGAGGGGTTCTTAGCGCGTCCTCCTCAAGTTCCAAGTCGTTGAAATCGCCCAAAGAGAAACTGCAACCCAGGGGGAACACCAGGCCAATGCATCCCCTCCAGCAAAGTAGAGTCCCCCACAGTAGAATGTGAGTATGGCCCTGAGGGTTTCCAGCGCCAATCCTGCTACAGTGTGCCTGTGTACAGTGGTGGGAGAGTCCGGGAGCCATGGGAACAGACCCACGCAGGGGGCTTTCAAGTGTGTGTGGCTGGCTCTTTTGTTCCCCACTGAGCCTCAGGAGACTTCCAGAGTAGTGGTAGCAGTGATAATAATGGTGCTTGTTGATCCCAACGTCTTAGTGGGATAGTTCCCACTAGTATACCCCGGTTCCACATAAGCAGGAAGAAGTGCAACTTGAGGTCTTGTCTGAGAAGACTTGAGGTCAGATAGGCCTCACATCCCACTTCTGCTGCTTCCTTGAGGGCTGTGTGCAAGGCACTGTTTCAGCATCTAAGAGTGACAGCCTCCAGAAGGGGAGTTCTAGTTGGTATTAGTCTCTGGCCCCCAGGAGGCAGTTAATGAATAGGTGCTGGCATTCCTGCCACAGCTATCAGTAATAGTAGAAATAAAAGGTGAAGAGATTCCCAGATGCTGCTCTAGGATTTTCTGGGGCCTGCAAAACCAACCAGGAAGCAGTGCTTCCTCCCAGCAGCTTTGGGTTCACATCACAGCCGTGATGCAGGGAGACTGAGAGAAGTTCACACTCTCCTGGCAAGGTTCTGGCGTGCTTCCAGGGTGGATCTGGAAGTTGGCAGGCCTCTTGAGGTCACGTGAAGGAGTGGCTGTGCACACCCATAGAAACACATCTTGCTTCGTCATGGCACCCCTCAGCCTAGAAGTGGGTAGCATTTCCCTGGCATGGCTCCCTTTGCAGTTTATGCCACCCAGCTCAGCCCCAAGGTCTGATAACCTGCGGTTAATCTCAGAGCAGGACCTAACACCTGCTACTGCTCAAGGAGCTTGCCTGCCAGGAGAGGCCACAACATCTTGCAGAGTCTCTGCTACTTGGGCTGTTCCAGGTATAGCTGTTTGGGGCTATTTGTCCTGGTTACTGTGCCCCCAGTACCTGCTCATCTTGCTCATCTGTCAGAAGCGCAGGATGATAAGCTCGACTTTCGCTCCTGGAGCTGTCTGAAAGCCAGAGAGGATGCCAGTGCAGCACCCATGTCACTCGCCAGCCTGACAGCCATGGAGCACTGAGTCCACTAAACAGTTTGCAGAACCATCACTCCAGCTTCTCATGTGGAGCTAGGGCTTCAGAGGGAACCAGCCCACTGTTAGGATCCTATCAACATCACCTGTTTTATGAAGGGAAAATGACAGTGTCTGAGATCCCAAGAGCAGTCAGGGCTTTAGCTGTGCGACAGGTTCTCAGTGCTCACCAACTCCATCCCAAGGACTTATGCTCTAAAGCCCCTGCCATAGAAGCCTTCTTATCAGGAATTGGAGAACTGGCACATCATCTGCTAATTAAACATTGGTCATCATCTTTGACAAGATCAGGGAACCTTGTCTTGGTGCTGTGTTGTTAGGCATGTGTATTTGACATTTATTTGAGTCCTCATAAATCTTTAGTGACATAAGGGTTCTGCAGAGTCTTTCGTCCTTTTAGACCTTTGCCTGGTCTGCCTCTTGCAGAACTTGCATCGGGTGGGTATTCGATCCAAGTCTCCTATAGGTCCATGTGTAAAATTGTTCTGAAATGATAATGGGCCTTTTGCCTCGTCAAAGGGTTTATGGACTGGATGAGTGTGTGAATATTTACAGGGTTTTCTGGAGAATTCTTACAAAATTCAAAAGGTGCCTTCTGGGGGGCCAGTCCGTGTGGTGCTGCTGACCCTGGCTCCGCCTCATCCCTCGGGGCTGCCCTCACTCAGGCGTTGGTGCTCTCTCCTGCTTTTGCAGCATGACGCCGTCTGTGAAAGTGGAGAAGATTCATCCGAAGATGGATGGCACACTACTGAAACCTGCGGCAGGGCCACCCTGTCCTGCTACTGTGAGTTCCTCAGTCAAGCCTGGCCTTAACTGCCCCTCAATACCAAAGCCAACCTTGCCTTCACCTGGACAGATTCTGAATGGCAAAGGGCTTCCTGCACCACCCGCTCTGGAAAAGAAACCCGAAGACGGTTCCAATAACAGGAAGTTTTTAAATAAGAGATTATCAGGTAACCTCCCAGCTCTTTCTTAATAGTGTTTCTGTACTTCAAGTGGGCTTTCCCAAGGACCAAGGGGACTGCTGTGTGTACTGCTGACCCACTCATCCCTGGGAGAGGCTCCCTAGGTAGTGTTTGTCCTCTTAGCTCTTGCTTTTTTTTTTTTTTTTTGGTACTGGGGATTGAACCCAGGGGTGCTTAATCACTGAGCCACGTCCCCAGTCCTTTTTATTTTTTATTTTGAGACAAGGTCTTGCTAAGTTGTTTAGGGCCTGGCTAAGTATCTGAGGCTGGCCTTGAACTTACATCCTCCTACCTCAGTATCCTGAGTCTTTGGAATTACAGGCATGAGCCACCATGCCTGGCTCACTCTTGCTTTAAAAGAGTGCCACTTGCAAACATGCACGTGAATGTGCAAATGCAGGGTGTGGGGCCCATTGAAAGCTTTCTGGTGTGGTTCTGAATTCAGTGACGCGGTGATGCTGCATGACAGTCACTTTCCTATGCGCTCATGCAGTTGTGGCATTTTAGTGATGCTCCTGCTATGTGATGCTCACACGTCTTTGTGGGTTTCATTCCAGCTGTCATTTGTCTGTCTTGAGATGTCTCCTATTTTCTAATTTACAAAATAAATGAAGGAGTGTTTGGCAAGCCTATTTTAATGTCTCTGTGCTTTTGACAGAAAGAGAGTTTGATCCTGACATCCACTGTGGGGTCATTGATCTCGACACCAAGAAGCCCTGCACCAGGTCTTTGACGTGCAAGGTAGGTCTTCCTGCAGGCAGAGCTGACACCTGTGGCGATCGTGGGGCTCTGAGAAGGGACCACACCGTCCCATGGTCTAACTGATGCTCTGGAGACTGTCCTCAGTTGTGTCAGTGAGGACATAACTTGGTCCAGAGAAAGGAGCTCGAGTTGGCAAAGGGTGAAGCATGTGATGGGAATCATGCTCTCAAGAGAGGTTTTATTTTCAATGAGTTCTGTGTCCTAGAAAACAGTGTCCTTCCCTGATCAGTCTGCTGTTTCTCAGGACTCAGTATTGCTACATAGAAATGTAATACTCTCTGGTGTGGTTTAAACTGCACAGACTTACAAGTCCAGAGGCTTCCTTTGCAAATATATGAATTTCCTTAAAATGTGTATACCACGATTCTTAAACTTCAAAAAACTATTTTTTAAAAATCTGTGACTTTAAAATTGCCTTACTTTCTAGTTTTTCAAAAATACAACGTAAAATATAATCTAACTAGGAAATTTAATGATCTCCCTCTCCATTCTGAAGTCTTCCTGTTTTTCCTTTAAAATGGCCAGTAGGCTGATAACGAAGGGGCCTATTCGCTGTGAGTAAAAGGTTGGGCTGGCTTCCATGGGCTCCACTGCCTGAGTGGGCATCTCTGTTGGACAGTATTTCTTTGGAGAGTGTCCCCAACTGTCTCCACAGGGGTTCAAGGAGTATTAGTTTCTAATTTAATTTAATTTTGTATGATTTGTCTTAAAACAGTGGTTCTGAACCATTTGGGGGAATGGATGCCCCTAATATCTAATTAAAAAAAAAAAAAAAAAAAAGCATAGACTCTCTGCTCAGGGATGGGAAAAGTACATATCTACATTCTGATTTTTGCCTTCTGTCCTGGGTTGATGGACTCCCCTACCCCGAGTCCTCAAGTTTGTCCTCCCTCAAGGACAAACTCCTCCCTCAAGACAAATAACTTTTGTCCTTCCTAGGATACTAATTGAACACATACTGTAGTGTGTTGAATATGGCCACGTGACCTGTGTAGAATTGTGTCAGGGTTTCAGCTACATCTAAGGGGATTTGTGGAAAAACGCCCCGGCCCTCTTGCACACCGTGATTCCAGCTGGCCCGCTCTTTCTCCCTCTTCCTGTCTGCCTGGCTTTCAGGAGCAGGCTTGCTCTCTTTATGTTCTACTCGGTTTCTTGGTTTTTTGGTTTTTGCCATGCTGGGGATGGAACCCAGGGCCTTGTGCATGCTGGTAGGCGAGCACTCTACCACTGAACCCATCTCCAGCCCCAGGGTGTTCTTTTAAAGTTAACTGTGAAACTTCATGGTGCACCAAAGTGTTTTCTTTCTTTCTGTTTTAAATTTTGTTCTACTGTGGTGAGAACCACACCACTTGGCGTCACCCTCTTTTAGTAACCTTTTTAAGTGTACAGCACATCATTGTGGACTGTACGCATACTGTTGTACCACAGGTCCTTGGCACTCATTCATCTTGCTTAATCGGAGCTTTTTGGTTGTTGATTGGTAATTCCTCATTTCCCTGACCCTCTGGTCTCTAGAATGACTGTTTTTTGATTCTGTTCGTTTGGCTGGTTCACATAAGTGGGGTCGTGAAGTGTTTGTGTTCTGTGACTGGCTTATTTCTCTTAGCATAATGTCCTTTGGACCCACCCATGTTATTGCAATGGCAAGAGCTCCTTTTCAAGGGCTGAATAATATTCCATCACTTGTATTTTCCACATTTCTCTTTATTGTCTGTCAGTGGGCCTTTACCTTGTTCAGAACAAGGTGTTATAGGTAGTGCTCTGGGCTGGTATGTTTTTAAGGCCCAGAAGTGGGATCGGCAAGAGGTGTTCCCACTCTCCCTGCGCCTCCTGCTTTTGTATGGACCTGCATGTTCTGCCATCTTTCTTTCAGATGGCTCATGCTGTTCTCCTGCTCTTGTAAGTGTGTCATTGATGCGTGTGGCCTAGTGCTACGCCTGCCCTTGCATCAGTCTCCCTCTTCAGCCCTGACTTGTCTTGAGTGCAGCATGGAGCTTGCAGAAAATGCAGCCTCCGGCCAGCCTGCTTTCCCAGAGTGCCTTTCTTTCTTCCATTGTCCTCTGGTCAGCTCTCCTCCTTCCCTTGCTTCACTCTGGCCTGAACCGGTTAGGCTGTGTAGGACTAATGCCTGCGTGGCCCTCCCCTAAATGTCCTAAGTTGCCGCCGAGTCTCTCGCACCCTGGGCTTGGGCCAGTTCTCACCCAAGTCTCTCCCACCCTGGGGTGGGCTTGCTGCTGCTCGCCCCTTCACTCGTCCCCTGCAGTCTGCTTCCCGCCCGCCTCCCCCCTCATCTGTATGACAGGCTGCCTCATGACCTCTGTGCCTCTGTCTCTGTCCAGTGTCTCTGAAAAACTTGGTATCACACACCCTGCAAACACAGGTCTTGTTCTAGGTCCCAGGGGTGTAGGGTCCAACAGAATCAGGGTGTGCCTGCTGTCCTTGTCTAACGCCAGAGATGAAGATCAGTGACTTGAGAGGAGTAGAAAACCCACTTGATGGTTCATGAAAACGGAGGGGCCTGAAGTTAGAAGATGTGGCTGAGGAAGGCTCCTAGCCACAGGACCCTGGGTTGAAGTCATTCTGTCCTGCCTGGGCTGGGAGGTGTGGGAGAGGCACAGTGGAGGGACGTGCAGGCTTGGACTCTGTGCAGCCCGAGAGACGGGCCGGGAGCTAAACTGGAGGGGAGGAAGAGGCAGGTGACTCCACAGAGCAGAAAGCAGGGCTTTAGCATGTGCCCAATCTTCCCTGGTGCCTGCGTCAGCCCCTTGCAGAGTTCTGGATGTTGGGGTGCAGCAGCGTCCTCAGGTCTGTATTTGGAGTGTCCTTCAGAGCCCAGTGGACGTCCTGTCTGCTCATCAGCCTGAGCGGGGACAATACCGTCTCCCTGCTTTCTTCACTCAGCTTTCCTTGGCTAAGCAGCACAGCACACTTAGAGAGGAGGAGTGTGTATATGTGTGTCTGGAAAGATAGGCAGCTGGGCCAGGGACAGCATGTCATTCATCCCTTCAGTATGTAGTAGAGGGTTTTTTGGGGGGTCTTTTTTTTTCTTAACTGGGCATTGAATCCAGGGGCGTCTTACCACAGAGCCAAATCAGTAAGTTGCTTAGGACCTCACTAAGTTGTTAGGGGTGGCTTTGAACTTGTGATCCCAGCCTCAGCCTCCCGGGCTGCTGGGATTAGGGGTATGGGCCACTTTGCTCAACAAGGATCTTTGTTTTTATGTACTTTTTGACTGGAGCATTTATTAAACATCAGGTGCAGTTCTAGGTGCTGATGTAGCACTGAACACAAACAAAGTTCCTTTTCCTCATTCAGGTTACTTTCATGTGGGTATGTTACATACTAAAGGACATTAAAGTTTTTAAAAGAAGCTTAGCACATTTATCTGTGCCTGATTGGGTTTTGGGTGGACATACTTCACAGTGGCCAGTAAGACAGTAGGTTGGGTTATCATGTTTCAGATGAATGTTTGAGGTAAATCCCCCAAGTTCATACCAACATGTCTGTAAGTCCACAGAGCAGTGCGGTGTAGAGCACGTATAGAGTAGGGAAGCATGGGAAGTGTGCCTTGCCGTATTTCAAACATGAGAGGAGGAAATGTGGATGAAGTCACTTATGTTCATGGATCACGTGACTAGGGCCCTGTAATCATTGGAAGCTGACCCACTCCTGGGGTTCATCGTCTCCTGCGTTTTTACAGACTGAGACCCCAGCAGTTCATGAATTGTGACCTATGAAGTCGTTCCACAGTGATCAGACTTAACTGTCACTAAGTGTTACCAACTTTGGTGACCTTGCACTTGTACATACTGGTTTGTCTTCTGCTGGGAATGGGACTAGACTCCGTACCTTGGTTTTTGTAGAATGTTGGTTATCATCAAAATGCATTTGGCGCACAGACGCTTTCTTACAGGTGTTTCAATCAGAGGTTGACGTTGGTTGCCTTCTGAAAGCCAGCAACTGTCCCTTGGCCTTCCTCCCCTCTGGGTGCCCCTTTCTCAGTTCTGAACCTTGACTCTGTCTGCAGACTCGGGACTGGAACTGGCTGCTGGGTGTCTCTTCCTGTTGCAGTTCTTTCTCGGTCTTGTGTTCACCCTCTCAGGTCTTCCATAGCTATGGTGGTCCCTTGTCTCCAGAATGTGTCAGCCCACTCTGTCTTCGCAGGGCATTTTCATTGGAAGACAGAGAAGCAATTGTTTCATTTTCACTCTCTGCAATTACTACAAGAACACTTGTTAATGTGTGTTTATGGAATCATTGATTCTTTCCTTTGTTAGCATTTGGAGTTTTAAATGGTTGAAAGAGGGACTCTTTAATGGAGTTGATAAGAGCCTCAATAAACAATTGCTCTCATGGTAACAAAACATGAGCACCTGTCACCTGTTTCTACTATTGTCCACTAGTTACATAGCCAGGTGACCCAACTAACATGACTCCTTCATTCTGATAGAAATAACATTCCCAGATTCTCCTCCAGTTAGTCTAGACTGGGTGCTTTTAGTCCAGCAGAGAAAAGATCATGCTTTTGGAATTATTTTTTATCTCATTAAATGCTGAGCTGTCTGTAACTGTGCTGATGGTATAGATTGCTTTTTAAAGAGAGTGGCGTTTGAGGGTATGTGACAGATCAAAGTCATGTAGAGATTCCTCAGTTTCTGGGTTTTTTATTCTTCAGACACATTCCTTAACCCAGCGGAGGGCTGTTCAGGGTAGAAGAAAACGATTTGATGTGTTATTAGCCGAGCACAAAAACAAAACCAGGGAAAAGGAATCGATGCGCCATCTGGACTCTCAGCCACCACCGCAGCCTCTCAGGGACCCGCATCCCACCCCTCCTAGATCGTCGCAGGAGCCGCACCAAAACTCTCCTTCTGAATCAAAGCCTTCCGTAGCTAGCAAACCTAAACCTCACACCCCCAGTCTTCCAAGGTAAGCCAAGCCCTCCAACCTGGGCTCCCCTTCAGGACAGGCTTGTGGGCACCCGGCAAGGCTGCAGCCGGGAATCCAGGAGACGCACCAGCAGGCTCGCCATAGGGAGGCGCTTTATAGTTGATTCTTATTGTGAGAAGAAGCTTGTCCAGGCCCTCAGGAAGTTTCAGCCAGGGCTTTCCTGGTCGCAGATACAAGCAGCACCACAGAGCTCGAATTATCTGCTCTGTACTTCTTCAAAATCGGGTGTCTCTTAACCCCATTGAGCAGGGCTGACATTGGCCCTTGCCTGCCACAGGTTACTGGTTGGCATATTTCACATGGCCTTGACAGTGGCTTCCTGTTTATTTTTCCCTTCTTGCTGGAGTACACTGTGGGAGTTCTTGCTGGGGACAGGCACTAGGCCTGAGTCTTCACAACATCCACTCACCAACACGACTTTTCATGCAATCCTTTGGGACGTTGTCCTGAGTGGAGATGAGACATTTCAGCAGCATAATAAGCAGTGGGCCAAGGTGCTTGAGAATCTGTCACACGCACACCTGAGGTGGTGTTGGTGGAGGGTGTGCGTGCTTGCATATGTAACCAAGTTGAAGTTGAAAGACCCTTGGGCCCAGGTTTCAGGCGGAAGGGAGAGGCGTGCAGGAGGGGGTTGGGCCAGTGGTTGGGCTGAGGGCAACAGGGCTTCCGCTTAGGGAGGTGCCAGCTTTGGGGTGCTGCAGCTTGCGTTCTGCCCTGCAGTTGTCACATAATGATGGAGTCCCTCCCTCTCCAGGACCTGTGTGCTGGGCCCCTCCAACGTCAGCCCCTGGGGTAACACCCTGGAGGAGCCGTCCGGAGGGCTCCTGGCGTGTGCCAGGGTCCCGCCCCAGACTCCCTAGCAACTCCTTCCCTTGGCCATCTTCAGTGGACGGCTTTTCATTAGGAAGAAAAGCACAGTAATTCCAGAACCACTGGGCCACTGTTGCTGTGGGCAGAGAGGCCTCACCAGGCTCCAGAGTACCCACATAGAGTGGGAAAGCCCTTGTACTGGTGTCACTTCCCGTCACTTCCCGTTCCTCCCAGGTTAGCGTAGAACCCTGGCCACGCTTTATAATTTATTGCCTTAGTAACCCAAATCCATTTGAAATTGAAGAGGAACGGGAGTAATTAATTCTCTTAAACTCCACACACGGTCCCCCTCTGGGGAGGACAGAGGGGACTGAGTTCCCGGGTGAGTGGCAGGCAAGGGGAGAGGTGTTCAGCTCCCTGGCTGCCTTGCCAGCAAGCCTCTCCAGGAGTGGGGAGCCCAGCCCCCAGGCGATCTAGGCATGCTGTCTCCCCGGTGTGTGACCTGACCCGCTGCACTTCCTGCTCCCCAGGCCTCCAGGCTGCCCTGCTCAACAAGGTGGGAGCGCCCCCGTTGACCCTCCTCCAGTCCATGAGTCTCCACACCCTCCCCTGCCTGCCACTGAGCCAGCCTCTCGGTTATCCAGTGAGGAGGGTGAAGGCGATGACAAAGAAGAGTCTGTTGAAAAACTGGACTGTCATTATTCAGGTCGTCATCCTCAGCCAGCGTCTGTAAGTTCTGCGTCCACCCCACTTTGACCCTCCTCCGCAGCAGGGACAGGGCACTGTGTGGTGTACCCAAGGTGTGGGACGTGGTCCAGGTGTGAGCAGCTGGGCCAGGTGCCCCACGGGGGCCAGCACTGTTGGGAGCATTTTCTGCACTCCCTCCCTAGCAGGACACTCGGGCAGGCACTGTCACCTCGTTCTCCACGGCCTCTGGTGTCGGGGGCAGCTGTGCCTGAGGGGCAAGCCCTCTGTGTTCTCTTTCAGTTTTGCACATTCGGGAGCCGGCAGATCGGGAGAGGGTATTACGTGTTCGACTCCAGGTGGAACCGGCTCCGCTGCGCCCTCAACTTCATGGTGGAGAAGCATCTGAACTCGCAGCTGTGGAGGTGAGTAGGCCAGGGGCAGCTCACCTGCATATCTCCCACTTCCCAGATGGCCCCTGCGGCTGGTATTCTAAATGAAACTGTGCCTGGCCACCCTGAGGAGGCACCTGGTCACCCAGCCACTCACTCGTTCAGTGACCACATTTGTCCTGGTTGCCGGGTTCAAGGTGGGAGGATGGACACCCTTGCCGAGCTCACGGTTGGTCTGGAGTCAGGGGAGGCCAATACCAGTCAGCAGATGAGTGGGCAGCTGGTCCTCAGGGGGACTGGACAAGGTGAGAGTCAGCCGAGAGCTTGCTGCATGCCCTCAATCTGTTGGGTATATTTATTTTTCACTGTTCTTTGGCAAGTGACTGCAATGGATCCCTAATTTTTTTAGCAAATAACACTGAAATACAAGGTCACACAGAAGATTGGTGATAGGGTGAGGATTTGGACCTAGAGGCACTTGGTTTCCAAATAAAGATGAGGGGAAAACGACCTGGGGGATTCAGGGAAAGTGTCTCTGAAAAGGTGACCTTGACCTGATTGAATGGATCAGAGGGCAGCCACAGGGGGATAGGATTCTAGGGATTCTAGGATTCAGGAGGCAGGAACCAGGAGTGTGAAGACTGAGTGACAGTAGGCATGAGTGTCATTCGAGACCAGGCCTGAGAGACCAGCGGGGGCCAGTGGACGGTGGGGCTGACTATGCAGTGGGAAACTCCAAAGGCCTCGGGTAGAAGAGCTGTATGTTGTGATTTGCACTTGAAGACTTTGTGTTGTATTTGCACGTGTTTCCCAAACGGGAATTTAAGTGAATGAAAGGTTCATCCAGCCTTTCCTGAAATAAAATTGTTCTCATTCCTGCAGGACTTCTCAGAGCCTTTAATGAGCACTGGGCTTTGAAACTCAAAGCAGGAGCGGTCATGAGCCACATGGAGTCTCCTGAACTCTCTGGACTGGGGAACTAGCATTTGGTGGAGTCAACTTTGATGAATATATAAAGCTTTGCTAAAGGGGTTGTTCAGAGTCCCAGATCTGTCATTTGGGCGTCATCAGCTAGTGCTTTGCTGAGTGGGCTCTGCCAGTGCGTCCATTTCCCTCCTGTCGGGTTTCCTAGTGGGTCTGAAGAGCTGGTCAGAGGCCTTAGCACATCGGTGACAGTTGGGAGGACGCGTTGCTCGCTTAGAAGAACAGGTCAGGAGCGGCACTGCTCTGCTCTCCCACTGCATACTTCTTGCTTCCTTCTGAAGAGAAATCCCCCCTGCCAGTGGTGGAGTAGGGGTTTGGGTTGGGGTTCAGTGCACCCCAGGACCCCTAAGGGCCCAGCTTGCCATTTCTTCAGACTGCCCTGAGGGCCCGAGGCTGGGCAGGGCAGGGTGGTTGAGCTTCCCGGTCTGTCCTCTGAACTCTGAAAAAGCTGGAGGGGTGTTGAGGTGGACTCACTGCCTCCTTGGGCTGTTGCTGCTGGAGGGCTCTTGTCACTTGCTCTCAGGAGGAAGACAGAGTCCTTTCTACTGCCATGACCTCTGGTTTTGAAAGTCAGTACACAGTGACATGCGTGGCTCATGGGCTTGGAGCAGGTGGGAACTTGGGGCAGGTCCAGCCTCCAGGGCCTGGTTTCCAGGCACTCCGTGAGATTGGATGGGGGAGTGGTCCTTGTCCCAGCCTGCTGGCCCGGCACAGTTCCCTCCAGGAAGAGCCCTGTTTGAGCAGCTCTCTTCTTGGCCTCTTACTGCAAATCACCGGGGTACAGTAGGGGTGAGAGGAGTTGGGCCTCCGAACAGGGGTGGAAGTGGCCTCTGCTGAGCACAGTCATGGCCCAGGTGGCTACTCAGAGCTCCTGTGCCCTCTCTCCATGTGGGACCACTGCTCCACATCCCTAAGAGGGGCTAGGGAGCTAGTGAAGGATTGGTGTTTGGGATTTTTTTATATTTTCATTTTTTAGTTGTTGATAGACCTTTATTTTATTTATTCATATGTGGTGCTGAGAATCGAACCCAGTGCCTCACACATGCCAGCCAAATGCGCTACCGCTGAGCCCCAGCCCAGCCCTTGTGTTTGGTGTTTAACTGTGTGCATTGGGAATGCACTTGCATAGCTTTAAAGCAAAAATTGAATATAAGGAGGCGTACAATGAAAAGGCTGTCCCCTCGTCCCCTGCCCTTCTATATACCACCCAGCCCATAGACCTTTTTTTAGTTTCTTATATACCTTTATAGAACTGGTTTGTGCAGACAGAAATCAAGACCACTACGTATTCCTGCTTTGCTTCTGCTTATCTGAAAGGTCACATCACTGCATAAGAATCTCTTCAGAGGACCTGGTGGCAGTTGTTTGGAGTGAGCCTCCACATCCCCAGCCCTGTGGAAGCCTTTTTCCTTTTTCTAGTATTTGATTCAGGACAACCTAGTCCTGAGGCCCCAGCTTCGTGATCCCCCTGGTGGCCACAAGAACTCACTGCACTCAGCAGATCACAGTGTGTGGGCTTCATCTAGAGCAGAGCTTAACCCTGAGTCACCTGGGGTCCTCTGGGTACAGATTCTGCTCAGGTCCTAGGCCAGGGCCCAGGAACTTGGCGTTCCCAGCACCTCCCTCTTGTAGTGTCAGTCCCTGTCCTGTGGGAGAGCCAGGACTCTTTAGATGGTAGAGTCTGCCCACTGCCCTGAGGTGGTGTGGGGGGTGGCTCTCATGCAGCCCAAATCCAGAAGCTCTGACGTGAGGCCACAGCCGAACTCTGGAGTGGGGTTTAAAGCAGGTGCAAGCACTTGCCCTCGTCAATCCCTGTTCAGGAGAACATGGGTCTTTGCTTTTTTTTTTTTTTTTTTTTTTTTTTAGTTGTACACACACCTTTAGTTTGTTTATTTTTATGTGGTGCTGAGGATCGAACCTAGGGCCTCGCACGTGCTAGGCAAGTACTCTACTGCTGAGCCACAACTCCAGCCCAAGAACATGGTTCTTAAAAGGCACCAGGGAGGCGCTCGGGCCAGCTCCCTGTCTTGGAAATGGAGCGGGGTTGGACTGGGTGAGCGAGAGCCTGGTGGAGGTGGCGCTCGCCCTCTAGTCAGGCCCTTCTTTTCTGCTTCCTCGGTTTTTGTGGTTGGGTTTTTAAGAGATGGTTCTTGCTGCATTGCCCAGGCTGGCCCATCGTCCTGGCCTCCGGGGATGGCCCCCTCGCCGGGTGGGTAACAAGGACCCCAGCTGCATGGCACTGCAACAGGCTTCATTTTGCCACAGGGGCTGCTGACATTCTGGTGCAATTACATTTAAAAATTGAGCTAAAATAAAAGTGTGGCCTCCCTACCCTGACTGTCTGCCCAGCTCCTACCCAGATGTCACCAACATTACCACACTGTGGCTGAGCCCCCTGAGATCTGGAGGCTGTATCCCATGGGCAGTGTTTGGCCAGTAGTTACAACCCAGCCGCTGCTGTTAACTGATGATGTCCTTCCCCCCTCATCTTTCTAGAATTCCCTCTGTGTTTATGCCTTCTGTATTCTAAGTGCTAGGGCTATCATGGCGAGTCAGCTGTGGGTGGCCCCCTCTGCAAAGGAGTTAGCAACTTGCAGTCTCAGAAAGTCTAGGGACAGGTCGGTGCAGGCAAGTCAGCCTGGAGCTCCTGAGAGAGCAGTGCTGAGCCAACCCGAGGGGGCGAGAGTGGGGCACAGAGGGCAGGCACACAGAGTCAGGCCATGATGTCCTCGAAACATGGAGATCTGTGGCTGGGGACGGGAGTTGGCAGTGAAGCTGGGGCGGCAGCACAGGGTGAGGCACGCATCTTGTGTGATTCTAAGAGCCCCAGGAGGGCATCAGAGAATTGGAAGAAGGAAGTGGCAGGCTGGCTGGCTGACTGGTGTGCGGGTGATCGATCCCTCTGCTTGCGGTGGGTTGTCAGGGTCTTTGAGCCTCCATGAGTGGCTGCGGTGAGGTGAGTGTCACACTCTTGCCCTCTCCTTTTTTCAGGAAAATCCCACCAGTGCCCAGTACCACATCACCCGTCTCTGCACGTGTCCCTCACCGGACAAACTCTGTGCCGACGTCACAGTGTGGGATCGGCTATCTTGCCGCAGCCACCGTCTCTGCGTCCCCAGCACTGCTCTCATCCACCTGCATCTCCCCACATAGCAAAGCGGTACCAGCTCATGGAACCACATTAAATGCACAGCCTGCCACTTCCGGGGCGATGGATCCTGTGTGCAGTATGCAATCCAGACAAGTGTCCTCTTCGTCCTCGTCCCCTTCCACACCCTCTGGCCTCTCTTCGGTCCCCTCCTCCCCCATGTCCAGGAAACCTCAGAAGTTGAAATCCAGCAAGTCTTTAAGGCCCAAGGAGTCTGCTGGTAACAGCACTGACTGTCACAATGCCAGCAGCGGTGCCAGCAGCGGTACCAGCAGCGGCTCAGGAAAGAAACGCAAAAACAGCTCCCCGCTGCTGGTTCACTCTTCTGCCTCCTCTTCCTCCTCCTCCTCTTCTTCTTCTCATTCCATGGAGTCTTTTAGGAAAAACTGTGTGGCTCACTCTGGGCCTCCCTACACGTCTGCAGTGACATCTTCCCACAGCATCGGCCTCAACTGTGTGACAAACAAAGCACACTCGGCCAGCCTCCGCCACGAGCAGTCAGGGAGGGGGCCCCCCAGCGGGAGCCCCGCAGAGTCCATCAAGAGGATGAGCGTGATGGTCAACAGCGGCGACGCCACGCTCTCCCTAGGCCCCTTCATCCACCAGGCCAGCGAGCTCCCCGTGCACGCCCACGGGGGCTTCCCGCTGGCGCACACTCCGCTGGACAGGCTCATAGGAAAGAAAAGGAAGTGCTCGCCCAGCCCCAGCACCGTCAGCAGCAGCGGCAGCAGTGGCAAGGCCACCAAGGTCGCCAGACTGCCCACCATGAACAGCGTGCACATGAAGCACACGGGCACCCTCCCCGGGGCCCAAGGACTGACCAACAGCTCCCTCCTGCACCAGGTAGGATGCGCACTGCGGGCCTGGCCGCCGGGCACTCCCTGGGCTCTGCTCCAAAGTCCCCCCCCAGGGGGCAGGGGTTGCCTGTAGACCAGCTTCATGGTGTCACTTTAGAAAGGCAGGAGTCGCTGGCCTCGGAGGCCACAGCAGGCTCCTCTCTAGAACTCCTGCTGCCTGCGGGGGATGCTTCTGAAGGAGGGAGCCACAGGGATGCGCTGCAGAGGGGGCTGAGGAGGGCCTGGAGCCGGGACCCCAAGATCAGGATGAGGAGGGGGCAGGGGCATTTCCTGGAGGGTGTTACTCTGAGGAACGCCTGCATTGGAAACTCCCTGCATTGGAAGTCACACTGACCTAGAGAGGGATACTTCAAGACTGGAGAAGAAAGTGCTTGTAATAGTTTTCACCTGGAACAATTTCAGATACTCTGGTTAAATTCCACCACCAATTTTCTTCTTCCTTCCTGTTTTAGAGGGAGGCATAAAGCCAGGAGTCAGTGTGGGCATCCCCATTGCACCTTAACAAAGAGGTCGAGCTGGGGGTCCCTTAGCCAGCCAGGGGTGTCAAGCTCCCAGGGAACCATGTCTCTGTCTCACGCTGTGTCTCGTCTTCTCCCAGTCTCCCATGATGCTGGTTCTCCCGCCCCTCCCCTGCTGTCTCTTCCAGCTGCCTTTGCTCTAACTCCAGCTCATCTCTCATCTTGTTATTTCATCCATCAGGATATCTCCTCACCTTGCTTACGAACAGGAATTTCAGCTGCAGCACCCCAGAGCCCTGACTTAAAATGTGAGGCTCTTCTTTGTTTTTCCTCCTTTGTCTGCAGAACGTATGACAGGCTAGGACTCTCGTCAGCCAGGCCACGGCGCTCCCCACGGAGCTCCCTGCAGCATGGGGTGGTGGGCAGTGCTGGAGGGTGGGCAGACACCTGGGAACTAAGTAGCTGCTGAAATTGTGGGCTTGGGTCATTTGGCTTTTTGAGGGGGTGGGGAGAGCCTCCTGGGTGAGTGAGAATTGCTTTTCCTTCTTATTTGGTGGATCCTCCTCATAATTTATGGTGAGCATCCCTGCACTGGAAACTCCCTCTGGCTGCAGTGTCCCAGTGGGCCCTGGCCCTAGCAGGAGGGCTTGTAGTGTCAGGTGAGAATTCCTGAGCATACTCGGTCTTCATGTCGACGGGGGCCAGGGCTCAGGCTGGGCAGGGGTGCCCACCTCAATGCCGCTCCCAGACCCTCGTTACCAGTTTCAGAGAAATTGCAAATCTGGACTTGTGAAGAAACTTGGCCATTTTTTAAAGCTCTATGATCTTTTAAATCTAGCATAGCCCACTGTCTGTTGGCCAAGCTTATGACCTGCCGGTTTATCACCTCTGCTCACCTGGGGGCACCGTGGCACACACCATCTAACTGGGTTTTGCTTGTGGAATCACTCTCCACTGAAGCCTGTGTTGGAGAAGGCTTGCCCTCTGTGCCCAGAGCACTTTTCTCACACTGCAGCAGTCCTAGGGGGCCTGAGTCTAGAGAGCCGAGGATGAGTGAGCCCGAGAAGGGTCACAGCTCCACTCAGTGATCTGCAGGAGGTATCCTGTAGTGTGCATGAGAGGCTCAGAGGGACCCGTGACCCCACAGTGCTTTAAAGATTGCCACTCCTAGAAAAGTAGACCCTCAAGTTGCTGTCCCTGGAGGAGCTGACGTCAGGACTGTGCCCAGCTGCCTGAAGTCCTCTGAGAAGGGCTGAGGTGGGCGGTGCTGGGAGCCTCTGGGATGCTCCATGGCTGCTCACGGCTGCTCCCAGGCCTCAGGCAGCCCTGGGAAGGCAGAGGCCCCCTTCCCCTGCCTGAGTATGGCACTCCTCAGATGTGTGCTGGCCCGCAGGTGTGCTGGCCCGTGCAGCCCTATTCTGCTCTCGGGTAACCTGGAAGGCCTTCACGGGCACAGAATCAGAAAATAAAACCAAAGACAAACATGGAACCTTTCTCCAGGCTGGAAGCCCAGGCCTGTGTCTCTTCTAGCCGGTTTCCTGAAAGGAGACCTTGAGAATGGTCAGACCCAGGGACAGCGAAGGCTCCTGGAAGCTAAGGCCAGGCTCAGTAGCTCGCCACCCCAGCCTCCTGCAGTCAGTGGAACACTGGTGACGCATGGCCTTTGGAATGTTCTAGTGTAGGATCAAGGGGGCACAGAGTCCAAACGCACACTCATCTCTCGTTTCCCCACCCCTCTGTTCTGAAAGCCAAAGGCACGACCCTGACGACTGAAAACAGCACAGGGAGGAACAATCCAGACACTTTTGAAGACAAGTTACACCTCCACGCAGCACTCTGGACTCCGCGATGCCTTTGAGTCTCTTCCCGACCTCCTGTGGGCCCAGGGGAGCCCGCCAGGCCCGTGTTTGACGAGGACTTCCCTGAAGCTGTGTCTGTAGCAGTGAGTACTCTTAAAGGACACTGGATCGAGTTCAGCCACCGGATTGCTTTTATCAGTGTTAAAGTGGTCTGGACTGCTTGCTACAAATCTGTGAGAAGTTTGTTTTGTTTTGTTTTGTTCTAACTTGCAGTATATCATGGAGCCACTCTTGGAGTAGATTGGCTGGGCAAAAGAATGTTTTGGCAAGAGCGTTACTGTAGACTTTCCTCCCTCCTCCCTCTCCCTGCCAGTTCCTCTTCTCCCCCCACCCCCCAGCACCGTCTTCTGTAGGTCACCCTCCAGCAGGTAGGCGCCTCCCCTGGGGCCCGGAGGCCTTCCAGGAGGGAGGGCTGTACCCCAGCAGTCTCTGCAGAAAGGAAGCTGGCTTTAGATTTCCACAGCAGTGTTCCAGGACTAGAGGGCAGATGTTGGCACAAGGCGTCATGACACAGTGACCCAGCCTGTTGCAAGTCATTTAGGATAAGAAGCTGTCCGAGGTTTTGGACTTTCAAAATGGTTTCAAGTCATTGATGCCCTGACAGCCAGCATAACCATATTGGAGGCTTACATTTCATGGTACAAAAGCAATTCTGTGTGATTTAAAGAAAAGAAAAAGAAAATACAAACTAGTTTTGATAATGGAAAACCAAATTGAGGGTGGGGTTGGGAAAGGTAAAATAAAAATAGGGGGAGAAAAATCATCTTTTTCCAAGATTTCCAAAGAGATGCAGTTTTTTTATCTTTAAGTTTTCATGTTAAACAGTACTTCAGGTTGGGTTGATGGTCCTACCCAGTCTTTTTTTTAAGAATTGCCTTTTTAAAGTGATATCATTAGGATGTACTTCCAAGGGGTTGCCCCCCTTTATCTCTGTGGATACTGTCCTGGGACTAAGTGTAAGTTTCTGCATCCAGTGCTCCTGGCATCGTGTGTGTCCCCTCTCCCCTAGGACCACTAAAGATGTTTACTTGGATGCAAGTGGGGTGGGGTGGGGTGGGGAACAGATCTGAGGTGGGTGGAGGTCGACAGTGTGCACTCAGGCCCATGCAGGGTCCCCGTGGGGCACGCCTTCTTCCTCGGGGTTACTGCTGTCGTCTTCCTGAGCTGTGGAGCCCTCTGAGGAGTTTCCTGTAGTATCCACCCAAAGCTTGATACAGTGGAGCAGCTTGGCTCGAGAGGGGAGTGAGCTGGGCCTTTATCTGGCGATGCCACACCACAGTCCTGAACTGAGGACCAGGCCTCCTGCCTCAGAGAACAGAGTGGCCGAACACAGGGTAACGTCTCCTCGGCCCTGATCGTCACCCTGATGGGGCCCAGGCAGAGCCAGTCAGTGCGTCCTTTTTTTCCCTCAAATTCTTGGGTGACAAACTTCAGTTTCAGGGAATTTCAAGTCAACAACAGGTAGAATGAATAAATACTTGGTTACCAGCCTAATAATGTGAATTGCTACAGAATTATTCTTATTATGTAAGAAAACAAAGATTTTATGCAGATACTTTAGCTATAAATTGATGTAAAATATTGATTTTTTTTTTTTAAGGAAGGGGAGAACAGTTCTTGTTCACTTATTATGCAATCAGTAAATGTTTTTAAAATGATACTATAGGAGAGCTAGTGAGGAGAAACGCACGGGCCAGTTTGGTGTAGTTGGGAGAAATCAGTCTGCTTGTTCCATCCCAGCGAGGGAGGGAGAGAAGGAGAGAGGGCATCAGAAGGTATCTAGTCAGTTCCCTGGTGACAAGTGCAATGGGGTATGGGTAGAATTTATTTTCAGAGCCAAGGGGACTTGATGGTTATAAATTAAGTTGCTTTTAGCAATGGAATTTATAGACAGATCATGTTGTTCCGAAAGATGTGAATAGGATCCACGATAGCAAGTTGATTCAGAATATTGTAGATACTTAGATTAGTGAGTGTTGACAATTTGATTTCTTAGACTGAGATTTGAATTGAATTTCACTATGTCTCCCGGTAACACACACAGCATCGGGATTAGGAAATTAGCCATTTGGGATTCTGCCTGCCACAAACAGACCTATTCTAAACAGTGCTATTAAATTTTAGACTGTTCAAATATTTTATTTTCTCCAACAACTACTTTTTATTATGATAAACAATTAAGACCATTTAAAACACGGGAGTACAAGTATTTTTTTGAATTAAATTAACTCGCAAAAACCAAATTTGCAGTGGTTGGGATGTTTCTAGACAGACTTTGGTATCAATTTAAAACCAAGATAATTTTTATATTCTTTCCAATAGAATTTCATGACAACTTCTGCAGTTTTCTTAACCTTCAAAAAAAAAAAGTGCTGCAATGATGAACAAAGAATTATACAAAACCTACTTTTGTATCTTTATTTTGGGATTTCTTGTTCTATTATAAATATGGAAGTATCCCTATTTCAGAAGACATATTTTGTTAAAAATGAATTGTACATATTTAAATATGTATTTTTGCACAGGTCTTTTTTTCTGATATCCTGTTTTGGTACAATTGAGATCATCTAGTATTTATTTATTAATTAATAAAGTAAATACCTTTTTATAATTTGAAGTGGTTCACTGCCAAGCCAATAGTTCTAGAACCTGCCTCCTTTACAGTTTAAGGGATGCCTCTGTTCTGTGAAAGTCTTTGTCCCTTTAATGTCTCGGGAGTGGATTCATACAGATGAAGTGGGCATTGCTCTCCCTAGTTGCCTGATTTCCCAACAAGACTACATGTAACTAAGTGACACACTGCTTTTCTTTTGTTAGTATTTTGTGTGCGTGAGTGTGTGAATGTGCGTGAGTGTGTGTGTGTGTGTGTGTGTGTGTGTGTGTGCCTTTGTGTGTAGACACTCTGAGCACATGTGTGTTATTAGTATGTGATGTGGTTTAAAACTAATGGAAAAAACTGAAAGTGCCTGAACCCTAGTTTTAAGCTTAGACAGATTCTCTTTAAAAAGACTTGAATGTTCAGTTGAACTTTGGAGTTTGCTTTTTCCACCTAAATATTGTTTCTAAAATTTTAGGGGAGGAGTCGAAACCACCAATGCTGGTAATTTTATAAGGTATTTTAAAACTAAGACCTTTGGGGTCACAGTAATTCAACTAGTGATGGATTGCCCAGTGGCACCCAGGGTTACAGATCTTTGTCAGCCAGCAAACTTACATGACGTGTCCGTTTTGTTATTCATTCATGAAATACAGAGTTTAAAATAGAATATTTAAAATATTTTGTATTCCAAAAATATAATACAAAGAAGTACCTCTGAAAACATTGAAAAAAATGTATAATTTGAAAAATGTAACTTATAAAGGCAGCTGTCTTCCTGCAAGAGTTCTGTTGCCAAGGAATTTCTTAATGTCTCTCATTCTGTCCTGGGTGGGGGGGAAGTCGGGCTTTGAAAAATGATTGTTAAAAAAAAGTTTCATTGTTTAGCAGAAAATAATCATTTTTACATTTTGTGCAAAACATTTTACATCTTCAGATCATTTAAATGAGCACTACATACTGTCAGTGTGAATGTAGGGCCTTGAAAGCGTTTTGCTATGTTTTTTTTTGTTTTTTTTGAGCTTGGTTATAAAAGCAATCTCCTGTGTTAAAATGTGTGAATAGTTTGATAATTTGTACACATAATCAAGAGCATCTCAGCTGGACTTTGTTGGCTGCTGTATAGAACATGAACAAATGTCAAGGGATAGAAAATTACTTTGGATATTTAAAAGAGAAGAAATATATAGTCTATTTGTTTTGTAACAAGTTTCTGTAAATAAAATAATTTATACTATTTATAAGAAAAAGTTGTGCTTTGCTTTATGAGAAATTAGTTTGTGGAACAAACATGTTACTAAACGGGCAATAAAATTAGGACTTCTCAATAAATGAGGTTGGCTGCATGAAATGTTTTACATGTTTCTGCCTCGTGATCCTGAACTCTTTCGGTCCAGTCTGGCTTCTCTTCCATGTTGGCATCCCACACCTCGGGGAGGGCCTGCGCTCGGCCTGCCTCCTGCACAGGCCCAGGACTTGTGAGGCCATAGGGTGTTTCCACCGGGCACAGAGCGTTGCCTTGGATAAGTCAGTTGCAGTGTAAACAGTGGGCACACTGCATTCTGGCCCTGCAGGTTTTTGAGAGAAACAGGGTGGGGGGGTGGGTGATACTGGAAAAACGAATTCTGTTTATACTTTAAATTTTATGACATGGAGTCACTTGGGGTTCTAGTGTTTTGAAATCCAGAGCTGGTCTGGTCTCTTCTCTGCTTTCACATACTTCCCTTATTGGCAAGACGAGCACACTTGAGCATTCAGAGAATAACATAATCTTTCTAAAATCTGGTCAGTTTGCCCATTGCAAATAAATCACTCTAATAAATTTTTAAAGCATGTTGTTGCTTAAAGTAAGTGGGCAACTGCTTTATGTAATGGGAAAAAACATATGCAGACCTTACATGAAAGAATCAGGCTGGCTTCAAACCCCACAGCCCCGTGGACTTCCCAGTTCCTCTAGATGGACCAGGGACTCAGTCCAACCTGAGGACGTCCCTGTGGATGCCTCCTTTCACTTCGGGTGTTAGATCTTCCAGGAGAAGATCCAGCCTCTTAGTCTCTTATCATTTGTCCCTTCTTTCCCTTTCAGGTGACCTGTCCCTGGATCCCAAAAGACCAGCTCGATTTTCCAAGGAAGTGGGGCCAGCATTTTGGGATGGTGGCATGTGGGACCTCACCCACAGAAAAACAGGGTAAGGTCCTTCTTGGCAGAGGAAGCAAACAGGACGAAGTGAGGAAGTCGTGGGAGAATAATAACTCTGTAGGAAACTTGCTAGACAGCAGAGGTTGAGGGGATGGGAGAAGGTAGGGGCAGGCACATCTGTACTGGAGATGGGGGGGGGAGACAGAGGTGAGCAGAAATCTCTTCCCATATTTCTGATGTTTTCATTCTCTTGCCTCAAACATCAGTTTTTACTCCCCCTTTGAAGGCCTCATCACAAAGCTTTCCCATAAGCTGGGTGCAGTGGTGTACCTCTATTCCTAGCTCCTCAAGAGGCTGAGGCAGGAGGACCACTTGATCCCATGAGTTCAAGACAGCCTGGGCAAAATAGTGAGACCCTGCCTCAAAAAAATAAAAATAATCTGGGTGCAGTGGTGCACACCTATAATCCCAGCATCTCAGGAGGCTGAGGCAGGAGAATCGCAAGTTCTAGGCCAGCCTCAGCAAAAGTGAGGCCCTAAGTAACTCAGGGAGACCCTGTCTCTAAATAAAATACAAAATAGGGCTGGGGATGGGGCTCTGTGGTCGGGTGCCCCTGAGTTTAATTCCCAGTACTCAAAAAACTAAGCTCCCCTTAAATCAAGCCTAATGGGTCCTCTTCGGTTCTCCTCTTCCTCCTCCTCCTCTTCAGCTGCCATTCTCCTAAGAAACTCTTGATCCTGTTTCTAATGGTAGTTAAACCTGTCTTCCACCCTGTAAGGCTGTAATTATTGGCACTTGCTATCCTCATTTTCCATGACCCAAGCTGGCACTATCAGAATCCCTCAGGAGGTACAGGGGAGGGTAAGACTGGCAGCCACAGGAGTCTTCAAGGGAAGGGAAGAATCAAGTGCTTCTGATTTAATACTTTTTATTAAACTCTCCGTCACACAGGGCCTCCAGCAAAACTGTGCAAGACAGGATGAACAAGTGAGAGCCTTGGAACAAAAACAGGTCACAGAGCTGCTGTAATAATCCAGGTGAGAGCTCTGGAGTTTACAGACTGGCTCTGGAAACCTTTTTAAAGGAGGAGCCAGCAGGCCTTGAGGTCTGGTTACGTTGAACATTAACAGGAAGAGTGAGTTTAAGGTTTCCACCTGGGCCAGACTGGTGGATGAGCTTCAAGTACAATGTGTGACATGGTCACAGAGAATAAGACAGACAGCGAGAAATTCAGGTTAATTTAGAACCTATGTGGCTGTCTGGGGGTGCTGGGTGCACTCTCTCCCTTCAGCAAAGAATTGAAGAACAGACAGAGACAGCAAGCGAGAAGTGGGTATACTGCAAAGATGACAGAGACAGGACTTCTCCTGACAGAGGGGCCCTCGAGCTGGGAGTCTGGTGGGGAGTTCTGGCCTGTTCCTTTTATGGTCTCTGGAATGTCCTCCTTCCCTTAGCTCCACCCCCGTCCATGCTCTTCTGTTATTGATTGGTACCTTCTCTGTCCACACTTCTGTTTTGGTTTTTCTATTGGGTCCCCCACTTAGGAACACACGTACGGAAGTGTCTGTCTGATTGGGTCCCCGCTTGAGTCCATGAGCACTTTGGTCCAGCAGGAGGCTGACCTCATCAGAAGACCCTCTCTGTGTTCCTCTGTTCTGGCCCCACCCCGACCTCCTCACTCGCCATCTTACCCTGGCTGCCTTAGCCCTTCTGCAGCTCCCTCACCTGGTTGGCTGTGGAGTGTGGATGCAGCTCAGGAGGGAGGTCAAGCTGTAAGACAGATTTGTTTTTCACATATAGGTAGATGGTGAGTGAGGCCATAGAGGGGATGGTTTACCTGGAGAAGGTGCTCATTACTCTATCTGGCTTATTGAAGTAATGCTTACCTCTGGTCCTTACTCTGCTAAATACTGTGCCTAGCATTTCAGTGTCTCAGCCCTTCCAGGACAGGTGTTCTGACCCACCCACACTGAGGAGAAACTAAGGTGTCAGGCCTGAGGTCTCATGGCTGGTAGGCAGAAGAGCCAGGGAATGAATTCAGGACAGTCAGGACAGAGGTCTTTTTTTTTTTTTTTTTTGTCACACTCCAAGAACCAAATGGAAGAAGTTGATGGACCCTGACAGATGCACAGGCACATCACATTCCATTTCTAGAATTTCACAGTCTTCAAGCCCACCCTCCATCAAGCATGATGATGCTGTGCTCCATCCTGGCTCAGAGAGAAAAGACCCAGGATGAAACACAGCATCAACACCACAGAGCCAAGAGTCAGAGGGGAGACAGGGACTGGAGAGACCAAGATGGTTCAGAGAGACAGAGAAACGCAGGCCAGGTACAGTGGTGCACATCTGTAACCTCAGTGGCTTGGGAGGCTGAGCCAGAAGGATTGCAAGTTGAAGGACCGCCTCAGCAACTTAGATCCTATCTCAGAATGAAAACTAAAAAAGGGCTGGGGGTGTAGCTCAGTGGAAAAGCACCCCAGGTTCAATCCCCAATACCAAAAGAAAAGAAAAAAGGAAACATAAGTTTAGAAAGTTGACACCACTAAAATCATCAACCCATTTAGGTAATGTGTGTTTGGGGCTTTTCTCTTCTGCTGCTTTCTCCAGGACCCTGAGAACGGTGGGTGTTGGTTGGATGGGAGAAGTTAGGAGCTTGGGCAGGAGAATGGAGGGTAGAGAGAGGGAGGCAGGGACCCAAGGGTGGACAGAGGGAGGGAGGGACCGGCCGCTGGGTCTTGGGGGAAGGGAACTGGAGGCCCCCTGCGGAACCTCGGCAGGCCCTCTCAAGACCCTGGTTCCGCCTCGTTAAGTTGTAGGGTGGTTCTTTCACGGAACCCATGGTTAAACAAGCTCAGGGGTTTGTTCAGCGTGAGTCTGCATTCACGTCAATATGGCCAACAACTAAGGGCTGACGCGCAGGGTGGGAGCCAGGGACCCGTATCAAGGTGGCTTAGTTCTTTGAGGAATAGGCCAGGAGACAGGAATAGCTAGGAGAATCTAGAGGAATCCCAGGCTTCATTTCCAAAATCACATCTGGACACAGGTGCCCGTGGTCCCTAAGGGAAACCATGGGAGTGGTTAGAAGCGGCCTGAAGGGAGGACCTGCAATTAGGGTTCAGAAGAGTGGCCCAGGCTGTGGTCTGGGTTGTCCACTTCAAAGTCCTTGGGCTGTGAGGAAGGCTGAGCCTGCCCTGGAGCCTGGAATGAACTGGGGCTTTGAATCAGAGGTGTGTGCTGGAGGACAGTGTAAGCAGGTCCAAAGAGAAGGTGTTACAGTGGCCAGGGACCAGCAAGCAGTGGGTTTCGCCCTGACCCCGTATTTCTGAGGCATGTGTGAAAGCCCAGCTTCTGATCCAGAGGGGGCCAGGAGAAGCAGAGTCCTCAGCACAGCGCTCTGGTAAGGTCTGACAAGGAGGGCAGTGCGGTTGTCAGGGCACCACCTACTGGCAGTTGGGCGAAATGTCACTTCCCCCAGGGAAGCCCAGGAGGGGAAGGCCTATGGAGCCTCTGCTGTAATAAAGGTCAGTCATTCACTAGCAAATTGGTCATTTTTCTTTTCTTTTTGGTAGTTAGATGATGGACAGTAGGCCTTATTTTGTTTACTTTTATGCAGTGCTAAGGACACTCTGCCACTGAGCCATAGCCCCCATTTTATTTCTTAAACCCAATCTTCACAGGGACAGTTATGTCATTACAAGAGATTTCTCAATGACTGACAGAGGGTCACCCTCTTCCTTGACCATGTTCCTCAGGGCTACAATGGCTTGGACTAAACCACTACAAATTCTCATAGCACGCGTGTCCTTGAGAACACAGCAATGCGCGCCTGTGGTCTTATGGCTTGGAACGGAAAACCAGTGGCTGTTGAAGCTCTCCAGTTTCCAGGCAGGGACTGACTCACTCCCCCATCACCGTTTGTCAGGGTGGGAGCTTACTAACAGATGTGAGTGTGTGCAGCATTGGGAAGTCGAGGAAGGGGGACGGGGCAGAGAAGTAGGAGCCGCTCATCATCATCTTCAAAAAAAAAAAAAAAAGGTTCATAGCACCAACAATAAATCTGGAATAGGAAACTCTATCAGTTGATTTGTTAATGACCAGTAAGCTTCTATTATCAATTTAATGTTCAGTCAGGTTGCTGAGAACTGAATGTGTTCACTCATTATCCTAAGTGATTGCAGGTGCTCAGGGATCAAATTGTAGACACCCATTTAGCCATCTGGGTCAGGTAGAAATTCATGCAGATGCTGAACAAAGTTCATTTTTGGACTGTATATTCCTAAAAGTTTCTGTTAATGTGTTAAAATTTAATCTAAAGGGGCCAGGGTTGTGGTTCAGTGGTAGAGTGCTCGCCTGGCACTTATGAGGCACTGGGTCCAATCCTCAGCACCATAGAAAAATAGTTATTGTGTCCACCTATAACTTAAAAAATACATATTAAAAAAATTAAATTAAAGCTGTTATTTCTGATATAGATGGCCATCTGGACTGGTAGACTTGGTGGATAATCACATTTTATTAAGATGAGAGAAACTAGCATTATTGCCTTAAAAAATAATCACACAGTTCATCCCCCTGATTGGATTTCATAATGACTACACCCAGGGTTGATAGAAGTGGTGAGATCAAGCTTCTAACTTCAAAAGAAAATACTCACCAGTATTAAAAAGGAACTAAGTATGATTGTGCTAGCTCTGTGTCACTCAGCAGATCAAACTATCATTTGATGGTAATCTCATTTCCATATGATGAGGTGCCCTTTTTGTCTAAAACCAGAAAATTAGGACTTTGATAAAACAAGCTACAAAACTTGAAGCTACCAGAGGTGAGATGCAGGTTAAGAATTCTTTGGCTAGAGTCTCCTAGCTAGCACTTGCCGGGGCTGCCGACCTTCACCTTCAAGTGCACAGTATGAGCAGCAGGGCAGGGTGGCAAGCTCCAGTGCCACCAGGGGCCAGGCAGAGGTCCCGTCCGTGGCTCCCAGGCAGGTTGAGGGGCCTGCTGGAAAGCATGCTCCCATCATGCTCAGCTGCAGGGAGTACAGGTCCACAGTGAGCCTCATCTACCCATTTTTCCAGAGAAACTGGAAATAGTTTTTTAACTCACTTAGATGGTGGCCATAAACGTTTGGTGTTTTTTGTTTTGCAGTTCCGTGGCATCAGGAAGCTGCGTCTCTGCCTCCAGGTTTTTGGGGAAAGCACAGTTGTGGACCTGACATTGTCTGGACAGGCAGCACTGTTTAAATGAACTGGCTGAAGGCAGGAAAGCAAGGTTGGAAGTCCCCATGCTGTGTCGTCTCCCCTTCTGAGCAAACCCAAGTTGGTTAACAACATCAATTTGGTTGAACTTTCTGTAACCAAGTCTGTCGCACTAGCGCAGATGACCCTATTCAGTCATCTACTCATGTCCCAGCGGCTTTTACTTTATATTGTCTGAGGTCACCTAAGCAAGCCTCGATTGAGCCTGATTGGGGCCCATTTGACAGACACAGGTGAAGCACCTTCCTGCTCAGCACCGTGTGGGCTGGGCCTAGAGAGAGGCAGTTTCTCCCAATCTCACAGCCTCACTTAAAATTAGAGTTGTTTGGGGCTGGGGATGTGGCTCAAGTGGTAATGTGCTCTCCTGGCATGCACAGGGGCACTGGGTTCAATCCTCAGCACCACATAAAAATAAAATAAAGATGTGTCCACCGAAAACTAAAAATAAATATAAAAAAAAAATTCTCTCTCTAAAAAAAAAAAAAAATGAGAGCTGTTTGGTCCCAATTTTATTCACCTCCAAATCAGTATTCTGAGTATATATAGTGGGGTGCCACTGAGACCTGTAATGTTTCTTCAGAGAGAAACTCCTGAACGGTGGGTGACAAGGGCTGCAATTCTACACTAAAACCTTGATGCACACAGAGAATATTCTTCAGAACGTTAGCAGCGGTCATCTCTGTAGGGGACCATTTCAAAGCAGTTCCACTTTGCTTAAATTTCTTTTGAAATGAGCATATATTACGTTTCATGATGGAAACACTCCCTCACCCAGCAGCACTATCTGCTTCCTTGGTCCCCAGGCTTGGAGTTCTCAGTGTCCGTCCCCCATGGGGAGGAACTACAACTTTGTCCCTTTCCGCATTTCCCTCCTGTTTTTTAGGCAGATGGGCTAAAATGGTAAAAGGAAAAAGAAAACCAAGCACATTTTAGGCAAGGAAGGAGGAGAACAGACGTTCTGGCCTCTTTCCTCTAAGGCTACAGGGACTCTCAGCAAAAAAGCCACAGTTCTGTATGATCATATCAGGATGTGTTGTTTCACTAGAGGGAGTTGAGGGAAAGACTATTTTTAAAAAACTGGCAATTTGATCTTATTTTCCCTCTAGCATGAACTGTAAGGAGTCAGTTGGCTAAAAAGTAGAATTCTGCTCATTTTATTTATTTGCAATACTGGGGAGTGAATGGTAGGCAAGTGCTCTACCACTGAGCTACATCCTGGGCGCTTTTTGAGACATCATTTTACTAAAAATTACTGAGGCTGGCCTCAAACTTGTGGTTCTCCTGCCTCAGCCTTCTGAGTAGCTAGAATCACACACACACAGCTCATAACTGTTCTAACTTTAAAGGGAGACAAGGAGCTCAGTAAGTTCTCAATGACAATTTGCTGGATTTAACAGACTGCACTTGATGAATTGCAGGATCTTGTATGGACACTTACGTTCAGTTTGTTCACAAAATTAAGGTTTTATGGATCATTGTGAAACCTATAGGCAGGTATTCTTAAATGCTTTAGGCATCCAACTGAAAGCCTCCTGTCCACCTCCACACACAGCCCCACCATCTCTCCTGTGTTAAATCTGATGGCAACCACTGTCTCAACCTGTAAGATAATGCTTCTGATATTTTGCCATTACGAATCTTGTCGTGGTAGGTTTTTATTTTATCATTTGGTTTACAGAAGAGTTTTTGTTGATTATGAGAATGTTGGAGTTAGTTTCAAATAAGATCACATTTTCTCTAATGTTAGTGTATCATTCCCATCAACCAAAAAAGCATGCTCCAAGCAACAAAACCTCTTTCTCTTCCCTGTGAGATGCCAAAACTCACGGCCAAGAGTCACCTTTAACCTAAGCAAACAGCCTCCGATCTCCCTGATTTGTTTTCTCACCTGCCCTCTTGCCATTTTACAATTTCAGCAATTGGGCCACTGCCACCATCCACCCCCGTCCCACCCAGTGTCGCCTCCAGCTGATTGCTACAGTGACAGTTTGAAAGGTAAGTAAGGTCATTTCTCTTATTTCTCTGCTTAAAACCTCCAGTGACTTGCTGTCGGTTTCCCAAGGTACCCACATGCTCTCTCCTTGGTTTTCACTGAAATGTCACCTTACAGAGGCCTTCTATGACACCCTGTTTAAAATGTCCTCTTCATACTCTATCCCACTGCATCCCCATCTATATAGCTCTTATCCCACCTGACTCAGAGCTCACAGTTGGAAGACAGAGAAGGAGTTGTTCTGATTCCCCCCACTGCTGTCACTGTTTTGGGGGAGATTCATTTTGCTAATATACGCACAAGATTCCTTAGAATCTATGCTCCGTAAGGTATGTTCTAGAATCTAGGTTGCCAGCTTGCTAATGAGGTAACTTCTTGTCTTACATGGTTACTTTTTTGTGAGTGAAAGCATACATGAAAACATGTATGTTCCATTATACTAAGAGGGTAACAGTGTTTTCTCTCCAGAATCAGGAGGTCCTTACCGTACTGATGAGTCCTGGGTCCTATGCCTCTGACTGTGACCATCATACCTTGAACAGCACTCGTTCGAATGACAAAACACTTTTCATTAATGAATAATTCAAGTGACATTATCATTATAGGACTACCATCCTTAAAGGCAAGTATGTTTAAGAAAAAAAGTGAAACAACAATGTAGTATTTATTTTATAAGGTGAACTGGGCACATAGTGAAATAAGCTATAAAAATTCCAATTACTCAGAAGAAAATCCTTTGTTCAAATGACTTTACATATTAATTACTCTGGAAAGTTTCTGAACTCTGTTTAGTAGCAGATCTCCTTTCTTGATAGTTTCTTGGTACTGCCAGTTCTTGCTATCAGGTCTATAAATAAATACAGGAAGAAAGTGAATTATTTACCAGCCACATTTCTCCATGACAATCACTGACCTACATTTCTAAGCCATTTGCAAATACCCCTTATTCTATGCACAAAACAGTACCTGTTGGTCTCCACTATTTCATTCACTTTATCAATTTTGCAGTGTAGTCTCCCAGCGGCAATAAATCTGGACAGTTCCCTAATTGAAAGAAAGGAAAACCAGCATTAGCCTTAAAAAGAATAGTACTTGCAGAATGCTTTGAAACTCATATTCAGTGTTCTTTCAAGTAACCCTTAGTCTTCCTTCTAGCCTGAGCTATTATTGCATATGCTGTACTTTTGAGATGTCCCTGGTATACTGTTGGATTTATTATCTACACAGACAACCCTAGAAGTTTACAGTAATGGGACACAGGTGTCCAACAGTGAAGCCATTCATACCAAGTCTTTAAAGGACCTGGAGAGGAAATGATTCAACTATTACATTGTTTCAGACAAAGCCCATGATCTGCAACAGCCTGTACTGACATAGTCCCTTCCCGGAGGAAATGTACCAGCTGCCTTGAATTCACTGGTCATCAAAACTGTGGCTTCCGTGCATCTCCTCCTCCACCTGAGCCTCCCACTGCCACCACTAGTGAAGTTTAAGGAACTGACCAAGGCCACACAGCTATTCAGTTGCAAAGCTGGAAGAAGCAGCCACTCCTTCCCCCAACTCAGAAAACCCATTTATGGGGTCCAGCCCAGTAAAGAGTCTTCTGGGCCATGATTACCGAATTTGGAATTCAATATGCAACAAAACCAAGGACACCAGCATTTAAAAATGAGATTACTATCACTGCTTTTCTTTCTTCCAAAGGAAGAAAATGAGGGAAAGACAACAGGGCTTTGGATTAGGTCTAGCTGTGCACTGCATCTCAAAACAAATACTGATCTATTAGTGTCTGAAACTTGCTCTGACATGGTTAAAAAATAACAGCAAATAAAATGATAAAATTCATTGTAGAATTAAAGAATGACAGATTACAAAGAAAATGGTCTTATTTAAATGAAACACACCCTCATTTTGTCATTGTGAACCACTGAAAACTGTATATGACTTAAGGACCTGTATCGGAAGCCATGATAGCACATGGCCATCACATACACTCAGAGCAAGGAAGTCTTGCCATAGCCTCCCAGCTGGGAAACAAAGACGACCCCACACACAAACACCCGCTGCCTAACTCACTGACCTCAGTGCCACACTCGACCACCATTCCCCAACGATGCTGAGTTCCCCTGGCATTTTCTGTTCCTGTGATATCCAAGCTTGTCCCCTTCTCTGCATCTAGAACTCCATGGGGCTAACTGTCAATCATATCTCAAAGCAAACCCTCCCCTCTCAGGCCTGCCACATGTAGATACAGTCCCGAGGGCACTAGAACACTTTCTCATCTCTATCAATACCAAGCATACTCCGAGGTCTATTTGAATCACTGTCTTATTCAAATACTAAAAGTCTAAGTTCAACCACTAGTTTGGCCAGAATTAGGACCAAATGTAAATACAGAAACCTAAGGTAAAACATTATCTGCGCATGGCTGTCAGAGGAACAAAGGATGCTGGCAACTTTAGTGACCACTTCTCTGCACCTCGCTCTTCCCGTGTATCAATATAAGAGGGGAAGACTGAGGAAGGAAGAGATGACAGATGTGTTTTGATATTTAGAATCACTCTTGATGTGTATTTTTTCCCCTCAAAACATAATACCCATAGGCAATGTAGAAATTCACATTAGAAGGCAATTGTAAAACTAACACGGTGCTAAACTTACTGATCAATGAATTCCACTCCGACACCAAATGCTTCTGCCATGTAGCCCAGGGTTAAGGACCTGTAGGATTCCAGCAGCTGGCTGTAGGCGTGAATTCTCATTTCTCTTACATAGTATCGATAATGAGGAGCAAAAAGCCAATCCTTTTTCATTTCCTGTTCCACAACCGCTGCAATGAATAAGATGATAAGTTATCTGATTCCACCTTCCATCTTAAGGGATTAAAATCTAAAACAACTCTTGAGTCCAAGAGACAGATTTAGTCAAGTAGAGAATTTCTCTCTGCCCTTCCACACCACCTTAACAGCAGCCGTGACCAAGTTGAGGCCAGCTCCAGGCACATCAGTCATGTGGCACTTGGCTATCTGACATCACCTATTAAAAAGAACCCAGTTTCTAAAGGAATATGTCCACAGACTGACAAAGTAACTATAGGGAACTTCTTATACCCTTAAGAAAAATTGGTGACATAAAAAAAAACACCAGAAAGCAGTATAAATTGGACATTTTAAAAATAACAAAGCAGAAGCAGTAAAAGGAAAGACTGATGAACCCTACTGTCAGAAATGTAAATGGTCTTAACGCCCTATAAAGATTTAATGAAAAGTGATTTATAAGAACTTGAAAGAGCTCTTAAAACTCAGCTTTAAAAACCAAAAAAGCAGGGGCTGGAGCTGTGGCTCAGTGGTAGAGCACTTGCCTGGCAGGTGTGAGGTCCTGGGTTCGATCCCCAGCACCACATATAAATAAGTAAATTAAGGTCCATTGACAACTTAAAAAAATTTTTTAAAAAGCAGTAAACCATACACATGATGTTAATGAGCAGTCCATACAAATACAACTTATTTTTTTGAATATTTACAGATGATATGGCAGGAAAGCAAAGTTTGCAAGTGTAGAAATAGAGGAACGCAATAGTCTCAGACAGTGGGATGAAGCTCTCCATGAACAGGGTAGACAGGAAGATGGCTCTGCTAAGCTGGCTACAGACAGCAAAGAACAGAGCAATGCAAATAAGGGAAGATCCCAGGGCAGGATAAGCACAGCTCAACCCAGGAACAGAATGGACAAACTTCAGAATACAAGCATCTGCTACAGATATCGAAGTGACCCAGAGAAAAGAAGGACACTTGTGCCTTGAACAAGGTGGATGACTGGCAAGGGTGGGGAGGTGGGAGAGGTTAATGCTTTAAACATCTCCACAGCTCCCAAGCCACTAATCTCATCACACCAGCATGAAACCTCCTTCAATCACTGCTCTCACTAATGTAGCATTTACATCAAGCCCTCAGTAAATGTGCCAGCACCATGCTGGTGTCGGGGACAGGAAGGGAAAAAAATATGAGGTCTGCTCCAAAAAATTCTAGTCAAAAGAGACAATCTAAGAAAGCATGATGAAACGGTGTGCTAGACTCTAACTACTTATGTACGTGGCAATGAGCAAATGAAAACACGCTCAGCATAACCAGTCTTCAGAGAACTGCAAAGTAAAATCACAGTGAGGTCCCACCTCACACCCACTAGGATGTCCATGATCAAAGAGAGACACAGGTACTGAATTCCCACAGTACCCACAAGTTCTGGTGGGAATGTCAAGTGGTACAACTCCTTTGGAAAATAATTTGGTATTTCCTTTAAAAATTAGATCACCATATGACCTGGCAATTCCAGACTCCCAGGTATATATATACCTAAGAAAGAAAAACATAGCCACAAAAAACTTGTACACAAATGCTTACTAGTATTATTTATAGTAGCCAAAAAGTGGAAACAGTGTAGATGTCTGCTGACTAATGAATGGATAAAATGTGGCATATTTATACAACAAACTATCACTTGACCATAAAAGAAAATTAAGGAATCCATGCTACAACATGGATGAACTGTGAGTGTATTAAGCTAAGTCAAAGTCTTCGGGCACAAGACACTTATCCTGATTCCACTTACGTGAAAGGTCCACAATAGACATTTATAAACACAAAGTAGACAGAGGTGGCTACAGGGGAGAACTGACTGCTAATGAGTTCAGGCTTCCTAATGGGAATCTGTTAATGGCTGCACCACCCTGTCTGCATAGGACACCTTAAAATGGTCAATTTTTAGGGGCTGGGGATGTGGCTCAAGCGGAAGCCTGCTCGCCTGGCATGCGTGCAACCCGGGTTCAATCCTCAGCACCACATACCAACAAAGATGTTGTGTCCGCCAAGAACTAAAAAAAAATATTAAAAATTCTCTCTCTCTCTCTCTCTCTCTCTCCCTCTCCTCTCTCATTCTCTCTTTAAAAAAAAAATGGTCAATTTTATGATATGGGAATTGTATCTTTTAATTTGTAATTCCAGGAACAAGGGAAGTAATGAGTTTGTTCTGACTGAGGAAAGGCTCTAGAGACCCCCAAACAAAAAAAGAGCAACTCTGCATTACAACCATATGTACATATGAAGAAGGGGTGAGGCCAAGGGGGCAGTGACTCACGCAAGATGGCCCTGTGCCTGCGTTACATGAGATCGGCCCCTTGAACACAGACAAAGTGCTCCATAACAATCATTTGAAGTCTCCCCCTTCCCATTTTTCATGAATGTGATATATTTAGACAAGCACTTTCTGAAGTCTGCAGCATAAACAAGAGACTACATCAATGCTGAATTTTGCTGTTTTAGCAAAATCATTTGCAAGCTAATTCTTCTGTCATTAGTTCGGTAGTCATTAGAAACCAAACGGCCAGGGAGAAAAGGGGACTGGAGGAAAAAGCAAATTTGTGTGGGCAGGATATCTGTAGAGTAGCTTTGAAGAAACAGATATTTCCTACAGATTATGTTCTCAGCCCACAACCTCTGAAAATGACATGCAGATCAGCACAAAGCCTTAATTACTGCAAAAAAAAAAAAAAAACCTATCAGTGAAATCCAGGCTCAGCT